TCCTTTTCCTACCGGCTCCGTTTCTGGCCTTTTGTGAGAAATGTGATGTTCTGTAGTTGCGGTGTCTTTTTTGATCCCTTTCTTTCTCCACTCCCCGCCCCCCCCTTTCGTGTGTGTGGCTAGGTTAAAAGCATGTGGTTCTCAAACGTCTGCCTGGGTTATGCCAGTTGGACCGGGAGATGCCGGATCTTCTGTTCTGACTGCTATTTTTGCTGAGGATTTGGGATTTTTTTTTTTTTTTTTTGGTTGTTGTTTTTAGCTAGCAGCCTTAGAAATTTCACCCTGGAAACGGCAGCATCAGATGCCTCCAACTCTTGCCTTAGCTCCAGCAGAGGGGTGGATTTCAGTACAGCAGCACACATCACCAAAGAGACACACGAGTTCGCCCTCCAGACATCACTCAGCCAACTCGCCTTTCCTCGGCTCCCTCCCCCTTCTCGAGTCTTTTTCTTGGGGTGGCAGCACCAAGCTAACCCCAAGCCAAAGCACTCGTTTGGTGGCACCTTTCACCAACCACCCCTAAACAAAACACGATGATTAACACAGCCCCCGAATTCAATTAGACATTCAATATGCTAATGTGAGGTCTGAAACCCACCCCAGCAGAACAATAAAAATGGTATCAACCCACGTTTTCTTTGTGCAGGCAAGGAGAAGGAGAGGGAGAGACAGAAAATCATCTCCCCTGTTTCCTGAACTGCAGTGGGGAGGGGGAAATATTTTCTACAGGAAAAAGGGGTTGGTTTCAACTGAAGCAAACATATTATCTTTACATGTGTTATATTTAGAGAACAACTGGGTTTCTTTCATCTTTTTTCCCTTTCTTTCATGTCCAAGGAGCAACTGCAGTGACTCTGCTGCCAGCAACAGCATGTGTGCTGTCAATTCCTGTCCATTTCACCTCAGGTCACTAAATGACTTAAAAAAAAAGAAAAATGAAGGTCGAAGAAAGCAGGAGGGGGAATAAAAATTTCCAGTTCCCGTGACCACCCTTGTTTCACCTCTTCTGCCTTGACAACACACCTCTGTAAGTCATTCTATATGCCAGGGCCCTCATGCAAAGGCAATTTGTTATCCCAAAGCCTGCTCTCAGAGTGCAGTTCACCCCAGGCCATCTCAGCATTTTGTGCCACTAGTTTTTGAACACACCAGATGTAACCCTTACACACTATTGTCTTCAAAACAGAATCCTGTAATAAACAAAACAAGCAGTGACTGAGGGAAACAATTGAGAGAAAATCACCAATTCTTCAAGCCACTAAAGCAGTTTATTAGCTTTCCCTTGCAAATTGTGTTTTTCAGAGAGCCACATCCTAAATCAACATCCACTTTGAAAAATAGAGTTACATATTTTAAACTCAAAAGCTTTATCTTCTGGATAACTTAAACAATTTATTTTATTAGCTTTCTTGTCTCTTCTCTTATTGTGGCACACAGTTAAGGCCAAATGAAATGCGTTTGTCTTTTCTGATTAAATACTAAGGATTGATAGCTTAAGATAAATTGACATATTTAAAAACAAAAGGGTGGTATTATTAGTCCTGAGAATAAGATTTAATAAACTGAATTCACCCTATGCTGAAAAGCATTGGATGCACAATACATCCAGTTAGCACTAAATCCTTGCAAAAGGTGTCCGATGCACAAGAGTTAAAGAAGTTCAAATTATAAAATCACAGACACCAGTTTCGTTTAAAACAAAGCATCTGTTAAAATTATAATTATATTGAAAGTACTATAAATCATGGGCAGACCAGCAGATTTACACAGGTTCATTCAGTTCTTCAAGTTACTTGCACAAATAGAAATTTCCAGGCATAGAGTAACTGAACCATAATTCAATATATATTTTGCAAAAATTTTTCAATACTACTGAAAATTTTGTAGAATTTCCAAAAGCAGTCTGAAATGAACAAAGGAGTCTAATTAGACTCCAAAATAAGACATCATGTTAGGAGCCAAGTCAGTCTAATATGGACACTTTTTGCATTTTATTGTTCATGTTTTTCAGTGATAAACTTCAATTTCTTACTTAACAGCATTATGTTTTTATATGTTCCAGATCAAAATTCATTAAGTAAATTCCTTTTCTCTCTTCTGATCAGTGCAGTTAAATAGAAAAAAAAAGTCTCATTAATAAATATATTTGTAGTCTGTTGAAATTACAGCTAATAGAAGCTGCACAGAATGTTACACTAAGTCCATGAAAGAGACTGAGCAATGAGAAGGACCAGAAGAAAAGCATAACTGCAATTTGTTGCATGAGGCTTACGCCAGCAGAACAGCAAAAGCATGATTACTAATTCCCTCAGAGATGCTGGTAATTTTGACTTGTTGACATAAAGTAATGTTTTGGTTTTAGGTATAAGTAAATAAAGAATGGAAATATGGAATAAAAATGGATATATTGCATTTAGTACATCTCAGTGCAACAGTTTTATAAAGCACTCCATCTATGATCTGTCCCTCTTGCAGTGCAACTCTTCTGGTCTAACCAGAATCTATCTCACACTTAGAAGCTTCATTGCTTTTCAGTGTGATTTTCTTTGACTATGTGTCTAACATTTAGGGTTATCATATGAATATGCAAAAGGGCACCTATTATTCCTGTGGATCTTTCTTGTTATGCAGAAAGCTATAAAGGAGTGACAGGTACTATTAACACATGTTCTATTTATATCTAGGGAAATTATTGAATTGAAAATATCTAGCAAATATAGATGTAGGTTCATGCCCATTATTGGCAATTTTTGTACTCCTCTACTGAGTTACAGATGATTTAATCAACCTGGCAAGAGTCCCATGATAGAAGCAAAGGAATTCCCAAGAAGCATAGATTCACCATTGCAGATCTTGTGTCATCCTGCAGTTGAGGCAGGGAAAAAAAACAGAGGAATCAGGGAAATAGGGGGGAAAATTCTAAATAGGAAGTAATTTGAGCCTAAGGCTTTCTGGCTATCTGGCATATGGACCAAGAACACCCTCAGCTCCAATGCTTATCTGTAAGTGTGCCCTTCTCCAAGGAGTCTTGCAGCTAGTGGAATATGGGAGTGTCTTTTCAGTACCTTTTCAGAGTTCAGGGTGAACTTCCTAGTTCTATGCAACAAAAATGATGGCCAATTGATATACAGAAAATTATTTTAAAGGTGTATTATATGGAAGGGGAAAAAAGTGAGTCTTACTCACATAATGTATTACAATATTGCATAACTATGTTCAGTACTGAAAAAAACCGATATTGCTATCTCAGATATCAAAAGGGAAATGTCATTTTAAGACAGAACCATCTTTCTAAAACAAAAATTTCACTGATGACACAATTGCTTATCTGACAATGACAATCAGGCCACATTTTATATTCTAGAAACTGCTTCTTTTATTTTGTAGTATTTGTCTTGGTCTTATGACATAGTTATTAACAACTCACTATTTTTTAATATAATTAATAATATACATCTTTCACTAATTGTATTGGTTTGTTTACTTTAACTTCCTGATATATAAAAAATCAGACTTTATTATCAGACACACTCACTTAATAAAGGACTTCACCTCATACCATACACTGTCTACTTTATTAGTGTATTTTGAAGAAATATTTTTCAAATGAAAGATTTTAACTTTTTTTATGGAGATTCTGTGAGGTAAAGGAGCTAACAACACCTAGGCAAACACTTTTCCCCAGACTAGCAACTGGTGATCCAAGTAGTTGCCCGGGTTTTGATAATTATAAACAAAGAGTTAACATCTTGCTATACATCTACGATAGTAGTCTACTCTAGTAATTTCTTTACTAATTGGTAACTGGTTAAATTAGGATAAAAAAGCTTTTTGTTGTATTACTTAGCAGAAAGAAGCTGTTATTTAAGTATTTAATTACAGCTTTGTAGAAAGTAAACTACACAGAATTAAAGAAATTATAATATTATTTCTGCTGAGATGATTTTAATTCTTCTTAATTCTTGTGTGTACATTTCTATAATTTTTTTTCTGTTCAACTAGATGTTGTTTTCCTTTGGGACAGAGTTTGGTATTCCAACTTCATTCTCAGTAAAGAATGATATATAATGATAAGAAGCACATGGAAAATGCAAACATCAGAATTTTTTAGCCAGCAAAAGGCAACAAAAAAGCCTGTGGCCCTTATGAATAGCAGGTTATAAATATCACTGTGCCTGTTCAGATGTTCTAGCTGGCACATTAGTGAAGATGAAGTCCTTCCCACACCTGCTTGCTTCTTTACACCTGGATCTAAAATCCCAGAGAAGCCATAGAGAAGGCTCAATGGCAGGCGTTGCCTTTCACTTGTGCATGTTTATACATCTGAGACATGACCTAACTCCTAGCATCCACAATTTCTTCTGTGATCAGTCCTATTCCTACCAGCACTATATGGCAACACCTGGTTTATTGCCACAGTCTTTCCTAAAGTAAAAAAGTAATATAAAGGAAAAATATGAAAAAAATAAGACAAAGAATATGTGGATATAAACACACTTTCCTTAATAATGTCAGCCAAAAAACTGCAATTTTAAAAAGGATTGTTTACCCTGAAATTGTTAATACGATTAATATTAGGTCATTATGACTTAGGGCTTTCTTTCCCCTCACAGAACTAAAAAAAAAAACCCAACAAAATAACCCTCCAAAAACCATGAAATTGTGGAAATAAAACTGAAAAAACCAACTGCCTTAAGACTACATGTCTAAAATACTGCAAAAGTCCCAAAAAGGACATTTGCATTTGTGTGGTGTCAGAAAAACAAACTGGGAGATGAATATCTTGCAATTGGATTTCCAACCAGAATACTATAGGGAGTTCATTTTCCCAAAGACTAAGGCCACTTTTCCAATTCAGACATTGAATTGTTTAATTTTCCTCAAAGATATTCTTGTGAACATCTTTTTTGTTAAAGAAAACAGAAATCTTTGAAAATTTAATTTTCTCGCTGCTCTTATATTAAACGTAAATCCTATATAAATAATTGTTTTGTAAAACTAACATGCATCTGGGCTGAAAACCAAGTTTTATTTTAATATGATTTAAACTAGAGATATTAAACTGTAAAAAGTAGGATTTGTAACAGAGACACTGTAGTTATAAGCATATGTTGTTAGATTAACTTTCTAATAATGTACAACTTAAAGAAAGTTCCAAGGGAAGGATCAAAAATTGCCTTGGTTATCTGTTTGGCTGCAATAAATAAATGATTCATCAAAAGGAGAATTATGGAAGTGAGTATTAATGCTTGTGGTAATATCTTATTAATCCCTCTATTTCCCTGTTCATGCAGTTTAGGGAGTGATCTAGCACACAGTATGTTTGAAGTGTGCTGTAATCAATAGTTGCCCTTCTAATAGCATACTGCAAGTGTATCAATGTGTAAAATGAAAAGAATTTTTAAATAAGTTAAATGACAAAACCAGGATGAAACAAATACTAGAAGTTTCCTGTCTTCTACTGCATAGTTCTTGACTAGTGGTCCTCTGTACTACTGCTACTACACAGATTTATCATTATTTGATTTATGGGATTCATTCATGTTTTTGAACAATATTGGATAAACAACAGTCATTCAGCTCTGTTTCTGTGTCCTAACAAGCCTAGTGGATTGCATTTGAACAAGACCATTTCCCCCTCTTCTCAAAATTATAGAGAAAATCTCCTAAGATTTTCCTAAGATAAGTATTGTTGCATCAAAAATTTGGAAGGAAACCAATCACTTTCCATAGCTTTATCTCTCTCTGACTCTGCAGATGGTCTCAGAGAAAGTACAATTGAAGTACTGTGTACACAATGCCCAAGGATGTTGGTGTCTATTTAGAATTTTTGAGAACTATGTCTTCTTTCCTCATGAACCCCCAAAATTATTGGTGCAGACAAGAGGCCCTACTTCCAGCCCAGGTTATCTTGTCTCTTCCTATCTTGTCTAGGAAATCTTGTTAAGTTCTTAGAAACTATGTGAAGCAAAGTTCTAATCAAACTAAAACAGACATATTGTGTCAAATTGACAAACCATACTATCTGTGAATCTGTGTTCACAAAAGTTCCTATTAAACTTCATGATCAGACTTAGTGTTTTACAAGTAAACCACATTATTTGTGAATCTGTGTTCATGGAAGTTCTTACTGACATGGACCAGATTTATAGTGTTGAACAGGTAAACCACAAAGTTGATGAATCTGCAATTGAATTGAAATGAGATCTCAAATGTGCCACAGTACTGGCACATTTGAGATCTCATTGAATTCAATCAGACTTAGAGAACTGAATTGGTTATAATCAGAAATTAAGCCTAGCTGTACTGAGCCCCTATGATCTCTGAAGACTACCTGGAAACTAAAAGGGTTTATTTTCCTCCCAGTTTCTACACTCTTATGCAACACACTCCTTACAAAACCAGTAAAATCTTTCATGTTCTTTTGTTGAGCCTACAGATATGCATATAGCTTTATGGTAAACTAAGGGAAAATTGTCATATGGTGCTTTCCAATTGATCAACATAAAAAAATCTTTCATATTGTACTATTATTCACATGGACTCCTAGCAAAAAGAAGCCTTGTAAATTGTCTATGGCCAGAGGCTGGGAAAGGTTAGGGGCTCAGAAGTTTATCCTGGAAATTAAGAATGTCAAAACTTGGTATCTATTTTTAATGTTCCTTCCAAAAGACAAGCAATAAAGCACAGTATCATTAGTTCAAGTTTCAAGGCCAGCATGATGAGCAGGGAGAGGAACAGGTGTGAAACAACGGAGGGAAAGAGAAGAGATTGGGCTTCCATTAGTGTTGCTGTTACAACATGCTATCCTACATTATATGGGCAGAAAAATCTAAAACCATTACACGTCCAATTTCCTCAAAAAATGCTTTGGATCAGACTTCAGAGATACTGACCATAATGTAGGAAAAAAGACACATAATAAGAATGGCAGAAGCAAACATGTTAAGTGGTCAGATACTGCAATGATGCTCATTGCTGTGGTGATGCATGTGAGAGCCAAGCTCTTTGGTGCTAGATGTTTACACACTACCTTTCAAAAACTCGAGTTAGGTTCACCTCAGACAGTGGAGAGTCTCCCTCTTATCTTGCAGCTCAATGGTTCTGAGAATATGAGAGCTCAATTTCATGCTGTTTCTGAGGGGTGTTTAAAGGATAAGGATTTGCAGAAACGACCTAACTCCAAACTACAGCATATTCTGGAGTAAGAGTACTTTCACACCTTCTTATTGAAGTGGGATTATGCATTGGGCCAGAAGGTAAAACAAAGTATGGACTTTGTAGCCACAGTGCAAGAAGACAGGGTTTGGCATCTTCATTCCAGTTCCTGCCACATTCAATGTTACTTACTCCGCAGATTAAGCATTCCAATTTCAGTATTCCATGTTCTCTGAAGATCCTCAGATTTCATATTTGTTCCTTCATATCTTAGCTGTATGACTAAGAACACTCATAGTTGTCAGCATCTCCTCCCCTGTATCTTGTGATACCACCTGCTGCTCTTACACAATCCTACTGCAAATCCAACAACTGTTATCCATGGGTTCTTTGAAGAACATGCCGTGGGCTATGGCAATTGGAGATAAATTATTGCCCTAGTGTAAAATTTTAAAGATAGAAGACCGTTTTCTGTCTCCTTAGACTTTGAAAACAAACTTAACTCACGCCAGATTGAGATAAAACAAACAACCAATAAAAAAATAGGACACAGTTACAAATGTTTGTAACAAAAAAAAAAAAACCAAAAAAACAAACTGACATTTGCTCTACTGACATGGAGATTATGTCTCCCCTTTTATCCAGCTGTTAGTCTGCAAGATTTCTTAAAAATTCAGTTTACAAAGAGTTCTATCTTCTCTATATGTTAGGCCTCAGGTTATGTCCTTTTTCTTGTGTAAGACACTTGCTTTTTATAACCAATCCTTTTTTGTAAGTCCTTCCCGGAAGCCTAAACAGATCTAATCTGTTTTTCTTCACATGCATTGATTTCTTTCTTATTTGGGAGATTATCTGACCACCCCTTTTAATTAAAATGAGTATTCTTTTTTATTCTTCCTTAGAGATGTCTCTTTTTCAGATCAGATGTTATCTTTTGTACCTGACCGGACAATTAACAACTGCTTCAATAAGAGTAATCCTTATCACCCTATTCTCTCTTTGGTGAGTCAGCATGCATCCTGGCTGAATCTGCACCAAATCTTTCACTGGTTATCAGGCTGCACATTAAAAACACATTTGATACAAATACCTCAGTAGGAAAAAGGCATAAATTGCTGTTGGCTCTTGACTGTGATCAGACACGTAGTAATAAGCCAGTGACAAGGGGTTGTAAGGATTGATGCTTCACATTTTGGTTAGGTATTTTCTCTTCTGCAAAAACCTTAATTACAGAATGTAAAACAGAGCAGTTCTTTCCCTTTCAGATAGTCAATATTCAGTTATAACATGAAAGAATAAGATTACTGGTGAATAGAAGGAATTAGACAAGCCTCCTTACTCCAAAATGCCCTACAGCCTAACGATTTCATTCTTACAGCATGGAAATTTCATTCTTGCAGCACAGAGATTCACTCCTCTCAAAATGGCCTTGAGTCTTGCAATGATGAGACCCCCACCTTGGGTCTCTCCTATCTTGGGTGAGATTTCTAGCCACTGAACTACCAGACAAAAAGCTTACAGTACAGGGCTTCATACATGTGCTGTCCATGTTTTAAGCATCAGCCAATTCACTGTTAATAAAGGCCACAGACAAGACTGACAGAGAGACAACCTGCTTAAGTACCTTGATGAGAGTTGATGCTGAGGCTCTTCTGAGCATTTTAGAAGAAAGACTTGATGGCCAAAACAGCTTAATATAAACCACAAAATATCCTCTGGATTAAAGATTCTACAGAGTTGTACAATGGCTGGAGAGGAGATCTGGCAAAGCCCATTAAAGATTGAGTAGTGGGTATCTCTGTATCTCATATAGTAACTCAAACAATTAAAATGGGGCAACGCAACAAATCTGAGTGAGCAGTTGAGATGTGCTGACTTTGTATATGCCCAGCTATGAGCAAATTAAATGCAACCCAGCTAAACACAAAGCTTTTTCAGAGATTTTATGATCTGGTTAAAAACTGAAAGTAAATAATCCAGATGTTGCTAAGCTGGTAGATGTAAGATGTATATTGAAAACTCCCTTATTCACAGAGCTAACTTCTATATCACTATAAAGTAATGTGTCTTTTTTGTCTTTATAATTTCAGTTTTAAGATGTGGGAAAATCACTGTGGGTAAACAAAGTCAAGTACAGATTTAGGAAATGGAGGTTTTCTTGTCCAAAGAAAAAGAAAATGCAAGAGACACCTCCTTAGTGAATTTTTTAGCCTTTTCTTTTAGCACTGACATTAGTGTCTTTTGGTCAGGTTTATTACCTTGAGACTTATTAATGTGTCTGCTTAGCTTCCAGACTCAAAGTACCCCCTTTGGACTCCAGCCCTGTGAGGTGAGGTACTGCTCATCTGAATCTTCCTGAGTGTTTGTATGTACAAACCAACTGCCCAGAAAGGTAAATTACAGATAATCAATGTTTTTAATACCTCCTCACACCTGTGTAATGGTAGCGTTGCCTAAGAAAAAAGCCAGCTGATGATGCTAATCTCTGGAGATAATACCCTAAGTGTTTCATTGAGGTTTTTGGCTAGAAGTGCATGGAAGAAGGATACGTGCATCACACTGCACAAAACATGAAAATAGACACTCTGGAAAGAGTGATGGTCTGCACTGTGCCACGTCTGAACAGCAAGCTTTATGCACTAGGGACTGTGGCCACTCAATAGTAAAAAGGCACATGTTGCAGAGGAGGCCACTGTGGTCCTCAAGGCCCACAGGTGAATTCTGTGGACATGCTTCAAATTTAGTCTGCACACGTACAATATGTTTGATGCATTCACAATGCAACAGATAATTTGCATTTGTAATAATAATATATCTGGAAGTCGCAGAAAAATTTACTGCACGGAATAATACAGAACTTAAGTCCTCTTACTCCTCTGGTAAATAAATCCATTTCAACTAGTCACACGCCAGCTAGAATGTTTAGACAAATGTGACTGCTGGCATTAAAAACTGAATAAATTGTTTAAGAGATTGGACAAGTGATTTTTTTTCACAGTCTAAAAAAAGGGAAGAGAGGAGGTGTTGGGGAGTATGTGCCTTAAGTAGGTGCCAAGAAAGTGCCTGAACAAATGAGTAAAGATTACTAGCCTATCCACTTTCATCTCCTCAGAAATTTTTTGTTTTTGTGTGTCCTTCTGATGGGAAGTAGCACCAATACTCCACAGGTACAAGAGTTGTAACAATGGGGTTATCTTCTATCCACTGACAAAGTTGGTATGGTCTTCAGCCTTCAGATACGGTAGAAAAGGATTGAAAAAAGTGTCCTACAATAATGATTACGTAGCTTTCATCTAAAACCTTGAAACAGACAGTGTCATACTAAATCTCAACATAAAGCAGAGATCAGCTTGAGGACTGAAAGCCAAAACCAAAATATGAAGGTTCAATATACATTCAAAATAAATACAATCAAATACAGTGCTATATTTATTTCCTTCTATTTTCACACAAAGATAGAGATGCTTGCAGCACTTTTGATATTTATCACACTGTATCACTTAGGATATTGAAAATACATGTATCTAAAACATACACAATAAAATTATTCAGTTAATGTTGCAGTTTTTTGTTCTCATTGGCATGAAAGGCATATCTCATCATGTCTGTCTGTCTATGGTATGTCACACAGATGTGGCATGCCTTAGATGAAAACTCAAAAACTGAAATGACTCTCCCTTCAGTCAAACATAATATTGTAAAGAGAAACTGCTAGAGAGCCTTTTTACATTTTGAAGTAATTTACATTCTGTTATGTTCTCACACTACTTGATGTTTTAAAAGTGCAATGAAAAAGAATACAATTAATTTAAATTACACTACTTGATCTGAATTCCACACAGACTACATAGTACATGAAATGCATTAACTAGAATATATCTCCTAGAAATTACATAATGAGAGCAGTTGCAATTATTGTCTGTGCATGTAATATTCAGGAAATGTCATGAATCCACCTCATCTCTGTGCATGCTGTATATTGATTGGACCTGTCAACTCCAATGGAATATCCTCAGTATAACTCACATCAGAACCTGGCACTATATTTTGATCTCTCAGACAGCTAAATGATATCTAAAATTACATATAAGCAAACATCTTTCTATTGACTATGCATTGGAGAAAACTCGTGTATATTTTAATTCAAAGATGCTGGAGCATGTCAAGTGTATGATGTGTTCTTCAGTTATATTCATTTTCAGCAGGGGTTTGGAAATAGCAAAACAGAAAATATGACTACACCACTCTAAAAAAGTCTGCGGTATGCCCACATTGTGAATGCAGTATGCAGTTCTGATCTCTTCCTAACTCTAACAGATCTAGTGGGACTAGAGGGATCTCTGGAGAACATGGGACAGCTTCTATAAGGTAAGTCCCTCCAGCCTGGGTAGGAGGTGGTTGAGGGAGCTCTGATAATATTTGTAAGAGTGCCATGGTAAAAGTGAACGAGAAATGATTGTTATTCCTTGTAATATATGATCGAAAGGCATTAAATGAAGTTATTAAGTTGTATATTTAAAACAAACAATAGGAGGCACTTTTTTTTCTCACAGGACATAGTTAAATGATGGAAGTTGTTACCACAGAAGCTTATAAATGACAGAAGATTATGTGGACTGAAAGAGCAATTAGATAAACCCACAGACAAAAAAAATCTTTTAAGGCTACAGCACACAAAGATAAAAAACCTGACTGTACATCCCAAATGTGTCAGAATTTAGGATGCATACCAGGGGAATAGCTACTAAATAAGTACCTTGCTATTAAGTACTCTTCTAGGCATTTGCAAACAGGCTAGCAGGTAGACATTTGCTAGCAGGTAGGATGCTGGGGCCAGACTAATCTTTTGCCTGTTCAGCCCAGCTTATGCTTAAATTATTATTCCTGATTTAAAGGATTTGCTTTCAAATGAATTGCATTTCAGTTTGCTGCTTGTTTCACATTGCATGTATGTCGTTGAGGGGAGCATATCCACTGCTGGCACAAATGGCAGTGGTGCTCTCTTGCACAGTGTACAATGGGGTTTCCCAAACCAGGGGAATATCAGGGAAGCTAAGAGAGCTGACAGAAGTCTGCAGCTTGTGTGGTAGTGGCTGACAAGACCTGGGCAGGCCCAGAAGCAACAGTAAACAATTCTCCCCCCCAGAAAAAAAAGAATCCCTCAGGGCACGGCATGGCAATTGGTGCAGGGTATGCAGGAAGAGCACAAAACCCCTGCAAGCTCAACCAGGAAGCAATGGCATCCACCTGGCAGAAAGCTACAACCTCTCTAAGCTCTGCACCCAGCATGACTGATGCAGCTGCCCACAGTGCTCCAGGGAACATGCTGACACTCCAAAGGCAGCTGCAGAGTGTGCTCTGCAGAAGGGAGGAGTGAGTACACCTCTGGGGAGGTGCACCCAGGTAGAGGAGCTCCTTTGATTACTGACAGAGCATGAGAGAGAGAGAGATACCACTGGAATTTCACCCTACTTTCCCTGTGACAGGCCTGACAGGCAGAGAGGATGCACAATATGGAGAATTCCCTGCCCACTTTCACCCTGGCAGAACACAGTTACTTAATGTCTAGAACAGCAGGCGCATTTTCCCTGACTTTTCAGGTGCCCTGGCCTAATAGTGTGAGGCTCTGCAAGCAGACCTGAACAACAGCAAGGACAATGATTCATCTAGCTTGGAAGTGTCACCGAAGTCCTGAAAGGAAAAGGAGTCCAGGAAGACCAGACACTCCTCAAGAAGGAAAACTTAAAGATGAAGGAGCAGGCCATTACCATATGCCAAAAGACAAACTGGAGGAAAAGGATGCTGTGTTTGAACAGAGAGCTTTGGCTGGAACTCAGGGTAAAAGAAAAGCAGTATATCACCTTTGAAAGAAAGGGTGGGCAACTCAGGAAGACAAGGATGCCATAAGGTTATATAAGGAGAAAATTAGAAGGGCCAAAGCCCAAGTAGAACTTAATCTGGCTAATGTTGTAAACGACAACAAAAAAACACATCAGCAACAGACAGAATATAATAAAGGGAACTGAGAGAGCACTGAAAGTGTTCACCAATATATTTATCACCAATATATTTATCACCAATTTATACCAACATTTTATCACCAATTATTTACCAGCACTCCTGGCTAACCAGGGCAGTGCCAACTGACCGGAAGGTGGCAAATGTGACTTCCAGCTACAAGGTGGACCAGAAGGAAGGTACTGAGATCCACAGGCCTGTTAGCGTGGCCTTGATGCTGGGGAAGGTCATGGAGCAGGTCATCCTGAGGGCCATCACACAGCAGGTACAGGGCAACCAGGGGATGAGGCACAGCCAACGTGGGTTTGGGAAAGTCAGGTCCTGCCTAACCAACCTGTGACCCGCCTAGTGGATAAGGGAAAGGCTACAGATACAGTTTTCCCAGACATTAGCAAAGCCTTTGGCAATGCCTCCCACTGGATTGTCTTCACGAAATTAACTACTTAAGGCTTGGATGTATGGACTGTTCATCACATAAAAACTGGATGTCTGGGCCAGAGAGTGGTGGTCAATGGAATCAAATCCTGTCTGCAGAGGATCACTAGTGGAGTTTCTCAGTTCTCAGTATTGGGGCTGATCCTGTTTAAAGTCTTTATCAATGTTCTGGATGAGGGACTTGAACTCAATTAGTTCACAGATGACACTAATTTGGGTGGGAGTGTTGATCTGCTGGAGGGTGGGAAGGCTGTACAGAGAGATCTTGACAGACTGAACTGATGGGCTGAGAATGAGGTTCAACAAGGCAAAGTTCCAAGTCCTGCACTTCAGTTACAACAAAGCTTGAGGTGCTACAAGCTTGGGGTAGCGTGTCTGGAAAGCTGCTTAGCAGAAAGGGATCTGGGGCTGCTGCTTGACAGCAGCTGAACATGAGCCAGCAGAGTGCCTAGATGGCCAAGAAGGCCAATGGCATCCTGGCCTGTATCAGCAATAGTGTGGCCAGCAGGGCCAGAGAAGTGATTGTCCCTCTGTGCTTGGCACTGGTGAGGCCAGACATCAAATCCTACATCCAGTTCTGGGCCCCTCACTACCAGAAGGACATTGAGGTGATGGAGTGAGTCCAGAGCAGGGCAACAGAGCTGGTGAAGAGTTTGGAGCACAAGTGCTGTGAGGAGTGGTTGAGGAAGCTGCTGTTGTTTAGCCTGGAAAAAGGAGCTGTCTCTACAACCCCCTGAAAGAAGATGTAGAAAAGCAAGAGTCTGTTTCTTTTCCCCAGTAACAAGTGACAGAACAAGAGGGAATGGTGTGAAGTTGCACCAGGGAAGGTTCAGATTTGACATTAGGAAAGATTAGGCTAGTCAAGCAATGCAATAGGATGCCCAATGAAGTGATGGACTCACCCTTCCTGGAGTTACTTAAAAGACTTGTAGACATGGCATTTAGGGACATGGTATACTGGTGGATTTGGCTTGATAATGTGATGGCTTGATAATTGAACTGATGATTTCAGAGGTCTTTTCCAACCTTACTAATTCTATGATTCTATAGGCATATTAAACCCAAAACATAGAGCTGAGACAGCAGTATCTTAGCTGTATCTCAGTATAAAGTGAGGTGCTACGACATTCTAAACTTACAAATTTAATTTCTTGGCACCACATAAGTGGACATTGAACAGAATTTATTCTTTATTGCTTTGAATTAATGTTTTATCTCATGTGAGAGAGAATATCTTATGTCCTTAAATTTATAGTGTAGACTTGGGATTTTACAAGTACATTCATATCCTGAAATGTATTATTCTATTAAGATATGTATTTGTATATATATATATATATATGTGTGTGTGTTTGTGTGTGTGTGTGTATACACAAATACATTTCTTAATAGAATTATTAAGAATTACTTAAGAATATAAGAACTACTTAACAGATGCTGCAGTAGGGATATTTGTTATTGTATCTTGTCTGATTTCAATATATTTCATAAAGTCTACTTTTAGATTTACACTATCGATGGCTTCACACTTTTTATTCTGCGCACGAGTTTAACTGTTAAGAACTTACAAAAATATTTGCTACTTTTCTTCACAGCATTGCCTTTTTCTCTATAAAATTGTGCCTCCTGACCCTTAGAATGGTCAAGTTTTCGTCCCAAGCCAGTAGCATCTACTCTGTATTTAAAAATGTCACTGCTTTTAAGTCCAATACCTACTAGTCCTGCAGGGCTAGAGGCAATAACTTGTAAAGGGAAAAATCCTCAGCTTTGCAATTGGACTCACAGACCTTGCTTCTAACCCTTCAGTCCTGTCAGCTATCAAACTTTGAAGTCATGACATTTTAAAGAAAATGTATAGAGGAGTTATTTTATAGGAACAGAAAACCACTTTTAACTTACCTCAGAAAATTTTTATTGCTCTTTCTTGCCCTATGCTTTCAATGAGTAAAATATCTAGTTTTACAGGTGGGTGCATATGAAAATAACACTAGTAAATGCTTTAAAGAGTAACTCATTCTAAAGGTTATATGCTAGAAACAAATATGCAAAACTGCTAGCACTTTTGGAAAAATACAGGAATGAAACACTCACTCAAGGTCAGAAATACAGAAACAATGACCTCAGCTATAACTTTTCTTGTGTTTTAATGTCTAATATCTTTTTATCTTTCAGGCCATCTAATATTAAAACTAATTAAAATGATTGCAACATTAGTTGAATTAAACCATCCTTCATTTTCAATGGTATCTTAATTAATACTAATATGTAGTACAATGCAAACTGTAATTTCCTGTAGATTTCTGTGGAAGAATTATAAGAATACTAGTACTACTACTTCTTGATGAGATTTTAAAAAAATTCTTCAGAAAAATGTAATTCAATCACTTTAAAATGTCAAATATTTGACAGTTCCATTTTTCTATGTTTCACAAATTTCCAGTTTTTTAAAACAGTTGACTATAAAAAAATCAAAATGAATGGATTTTAAACAGAATTAATTCCACTTTTACTGAAATTACTGTCTTCAAAGTCTGGGGTGTTTTTAATTTCATTAATTTTAACTCTGGAATAACTTTCTGTGAGTAAAATTCAGATTTTTAGTGTAGGAAATCAAATTCAAAAATGCTGTACTTCTCTGAGACCATGGATCAGCATAAAATTTAAATATGTCTATAACTTCATATGCCAGTGATTTCAGCAGATTTCCTCATATAGTCAAAGGTATTAATATGCTCAAGTTCCATGTGAAATCACAGGTATTTCCATCTTAGAATCACAAAACATCAATAAATTAAAATTCAAAAGTAAGGATCAGTGGTCACATATTCTAGACAGCAAAATACTTCGCTGCTGTACTTGATAATCAGAGCAAATAATTCTTGAACTTTAATCCTCATGACCTTTAAAAAAATGTGAATTCAAGTAAATTATCTTTACAGTATTACTATAATTTCTATTAATAATATAAATTATTTTTCATTAGTAAACCCAGAGTGGAGCAAATACTGTAAACAGATTTATGTTAATTTAATAGCTTTTTGCAACAATTTGCAGAATTAGCAATCAATTCCAACTTGATTGCAAATAATAATGAAAATCATTGAAACATGCCTATCAAAACATGCTTTAAAGGCCCCTCTGTACATGTAATGCAATTCTTCTACCTCATCAGCCCCTCCTCACCAATTTCTAAATGAAAAATGCCTGATAATACATTCCAACCTTGTCATTTCCATGATCTAGAATTATTTTTCTTGATGTTTCTTAAATGCTTCAGTTACTAAGAGAAGTCACTTGAAGTCCAGAGTACCTATACAAGATTGTTAGCATGACTTGTGCTGAACATCCAGGAAAAGACTCCCCACCTTATTAATTTATTGGCAATATCAACAGGCAATTAAATATTTCCTAGTAGTTGCAGAAAATGTTTCTTTGTTAAGCAAAGTTCATGTTAACATTGTCTCACTTAATTGTCAGTCATGACTGTTCAATGTCATCGGGAAATGTACATTTACTGGGAGAAATGCTGGTACACGTCCTGGCAAAACAGTAGATGGTAAGAGAGATCATGCTGCTCTACTTTCTACCTGGATACTGTAGTTTTTCTATGAGTGAAATCATGTGAAACCCATGTAAAGTTTCACTGCTAACATGAAATGGTTTGAGTAGAGACAGTTCCACGGAAGTACCTATTAAAAAAATGAATGCTTACATCTGAGGAAAAAGTATTATTGATGCAGCTGCCCTTGTGCTACTCACAGTGTTAAGTGAGAAGTGGGGCTGGAAAGGGAGCCCTTATTGACAGAGTACAGCTAGGGATACAAGGATGGCAATGCAACTTAAGAAAGACCATGGCCTGGGGCAGCTCTGAGGAAAAGAAACACTGCACTACTTGTGATGGGTGTCAGGAAGAAGCAGAGCTTGTTGCATAATACCTCTGTGCATATTCTGTCCAAGAAATTTTCTTATGTCTGTACATAGCAGATGGCACTTTAATTAAAAGTTCTGTAAACTTTCCTAAAACATCTTTGTGATTTCTGTGTTCAGCATGTTTATGTACTTCCCCCAGCAAATTAACACATTTTCAAATATCTTGTCCTCATTTAACAGTGATGTATGTGAACTGCTTCATGATGAAGGACCAATCCAGCACTACCTGCATGATGTTAATAAAAGTTTTGCTCAAGCCTTTAGTAAATGGGATTACAAAAGTGAAGAATGGGACAAGAGCATGAGGGAAAATGGTCTTGGATATGAGGAATAAATATTTAAGAGTTTTTGACAAATGAATACAAAAAATTATTGGTTAATACCAATTTATGTTTTTAATAGCATTAGAAGTTAATCAGAAAAAATAGCAAAATTATATGAACGGATGTTCTGTCAAATCATGGAAAACGTGTTTGTAAGAACAGTATTTTTCTCAAAACAATTTCTGATTTAAAAGTTAGCCTTAAAAGACATAGTCTTTTAATCAGCTTTGTAAAAATTACTTTAGAGATAAATGTAAAGACTAAAAATCAAGCTGAACCATTAGATTTCAAAACTAGTCTGCCATTAAATCTTGTTTTTCCTTTGAAATTAAATTGTTTACATAGTATTTTAGTTCCTTTGAATTGAGTAGGGAAACCCTGATATACAGGAAACATCACTGTTCATATAACTGAGACTCTAAGCATTCACACAGTTGTCTATGCAATGTTATACATGTAAATAGTCCCATCTTAACATATTTAAGTCTATGAAAAATCTGGTTCTAATGCTACCATGTGTACAATGAAATGGTGTTTTTGAAATCTGAAATGCAAACAACAGCAGCAACCTGTTTGTTTGCTAATTCTGTGTATTGTTTCACAGAATTTATATAAGAATTTATGTATGTCCTAGTGTAGTCAGCACACAGTCTGTTTCCTTATCTGTACTCATGTTCAGAGATTTCCCGTGAAATTGCTGCCAGAACCTGAAAAGGTCACATTAAGATTTTGTGAAGGTCTTTCTGGATATGTTGCTTCTGTGTCTGTGAGGCAACTTATCAAACACAGCCATAAATGCATGTAATGTAAGCACTGCTTTCTGTGACAAGCCATCATATTAATGAAAGGAAGAGGCCTCCAGCTATTGTGTGACTCCAACATGTTTTCTTTTACCTTTGGGTCCTTTCACAAATGCACACCATGCCTTATACACAGAGAACTAGAATAATCATTTTAACTGTTTGTTTTTTCTTTTGAGTAAATGAAAGGAGGTTGCTCCATGAAAGAAAAGACAGTATATAAAAATACCAAAGCTTTATTTTGGAAAAGCAAATTCTTCACTAACTCCCAAGGGAATTGAGTGGAAAGCTCTTGCACACACAAAAAGAATGTGTGTATATTTATGACTCAAGCTATGAAGTTACAGCAACATACTGTATTTCATTTTGTATTCACTATCAACCACAATTGCTTCTCTTTCCAGCTAATC